ACACACTAAGCGTATCAGCTTTAACTGCAATAGTGATTACAGTACTGAGGAGAGGGGATGTTTTTCACACTTAAATTGCTGGTCTCTTTCAAATGTTTTCGTAGTTCTGTAGGAATATCGACATTTGCTGTAATGTTTTGTATAATATTTGAGAGCAGTTAGCACTCATCTTTAGCATGTCAGCCCATCGATGACATAATAAGTGCCCGGCGGTTTGTGTCCTAGTTTGTCCCGTTACATGCGTTAAGAAGTAAAGATCCAACTTCGATCAACTGATCGATAATTCTAATCTGTCTTTAACAAGGACCAGTAATTTTATTTGGATGTTGCTGTATATTAATAATACGCTGGTATTTACCAGTATTTACTTACTCGTGGTGTTTATCATATCGACACGTATTTAAATTTTTGAATGTACAAAAATTTAAAAAAAAAAAACAACAACTTCCTGATGATCTAGGCCTTCAGCACTTCAGGAACACTTCGATTCATCATCGGCTTCTTTTGAATTAGTATTGCTATGTTACCGGTAAAAGCGATCTCCGTATGCGAGCCAGATGTTAAAATTTATAATTCATATGCAACATCCATCGATATATTCAGAAAGTATTCTTGGCTGGGTCTTAGTAACTGACAAATAAATTCCCGGATAAACTGAATATCGCTAGTTGTTTTTCAAGAACATTCGTGAAGGTCGATTTGGGCCGACAATGTTGCGAGGTTCTGGCGCTGTTCCTAATAATCAGAGGACTTTGGTATATCAAAATTATGCTTCAAAATTATGCTTCAAAATTATGCTTCAAAATCATGCAAGCAGAACATTTGTACCATTTGTTGACATCTTGAACCGAAGCAAGCTTGTCAAAAGTAGCCTCCTCCCTTTTGAGTCTTTTGAATAACATATCGTTGTAAGGCAGTGGCTGAGTTCGTGACAGCGGTTATTGATCACATAAAAATCCGTGCTCTAGTGGTTATTCCGCTGTCGCTATTGCGGTTAATTTAACTTTGTCGTCTCAGTTTGGCGGACGTTGAGTACTCAGACGTTTCGTAACCAAGCTAGACGATTCGTACTCCGTCAATTTGGACTAAGTTGTGTACCTAATCTGCTGGCAGCCGGTTTTTTTCTCTAAGGGTCACTAGGACGATAGTCTGAATTTCAACCGTCTCTTCCCTTTACCCCGAGGGGGGCGCGGGAGAGAAACTT